CCTGTTGGTTGAAACTATTAAGAAATATTTAAGAAATAGAGATAGGTTATTTGTATGCTTTAAGAAAACATTTGTCTGGTCTTATTATATCTTTTGAGAAATACTGTAAGTTTTAAAAATCACATTGGATGTGGCTTCATCTTTCTAGGGATTTATACATTAAAATGATATTTTTATTTATATGTGAGATCTCAAAATTTTATAAGTATTTTCTGAAGGACATAGAGAAAACAATTGTTGGGATTCATTAATAAAATCTAGTTTAATCATCTTGAGGGATGGGAGATGAGCAGGCTTCCTAAATCACATCTTTTCCTACTCCACTCAGTTTTTTCATGAATCCCCAGGGGTCTACTTTCAGTCTGGCTCTTCTGGTGCTTTTGCTATAGGTTAAAAGTAAGACATCCTCTGCCCTGCATGATCTTCTCAAGTTAATTCCCTGTACATACCTCAGTTTTCTCATCTATAAAATAGAACTAATAAATTGTGCATACCTCATAGAGTTGGGAAGGATAAATTGACGTGGAATATCTAAATTTATGCTTTGCAAAAAAAGGATACCTCCCAAAGACTGGCCATACCACCACCACCACCATCATCACCATCATATCTTTGACCTGTATTTATTGTAGCTGCCTCTACTGCAGCACAGAATGCAGAATCCTGGGAATCCTCAATCTTTTTTCTGTCCTCCATCACTCATCAACTTCTTTTCCTTCTGTAATACCCTACTCTAATTTCAACTCATCCCCTGAACTAATCCACCTCTTTCACTTTGTCTTCTTTAACCTATGCTCCACTCAGTATCCAGCTCTAAAACAGACTGGGTGGTCACTTCCTCAGATGGAGGGCATCTACTTCCTGCGCATGTAGAAGTCTCTCCAAACTTAAGCATCTGTCTCCAATTTGCTGAACTTGGAATCTTAAAAATGCAGATAACTGAATGAATGTATCTCTAAATCTACCTCATGGACTTCTTATTTAGAAGACCAGACTACCATCATCTAAATGTTATTTCCATTCAGAGAATTTCCACACGAAAATGCAGGACACATCATTTCCTTTAAAGACAATTGCACATTTTAAATTAAGAAACCAGTGTGAAAAAGGCAAACTTGGGCTCACAGTTTAGTTTTACAATATTTGAACTCTATAATCTTCCTTTGCAGAGCCTATTTTTTTTTTTTACCTCCCAAACAGGATCATAAAATCTACCTTCAAGATTATTGTGCTTTCCAGATTATATGAAAATTTGAAACTGCATACTATTAGTAGAAGCAAACATGGATTCTTAATAAACAGGCCTGGCATTTCAGCAAATGTTAACAGAAAGTACTACCAGGATATGCAAGTTCTCAGATGAACTTCTGACATCTGAATTTGTGTCTCCTGGATTCTTCACATGATAATAACATGTTTGTGAAACACAGTTGAGTTTGGTATCACTGATTGTTATGGTTTAGATGTGGTGTCCCCAAAAGCTCAAGTGTGAGATAATGAGAGAAGGTTTGGAGGAGAAATTACTGGGTATAGCCCCAAACTAATCAGTTAATTAATCCCTGCTGGGATTAACTGAGTGTTAACTGGAGGTAGGTAGGGTGTGGCTGGAGGAAGTGGTTCACTGGGGGGAGTGGCTATGGGGTATATATTTTGTATCTGGGGAGTAGAATCTCTCTCTGCTTCCTGATGATCAGGTGAGTGCTTTCCTCCACCACACTCCACCACATTCCACCACACTCCACTACACTCCACCACAATGTTGTTCTGCCTCACCTAAAGCCCCAAGAACCGGAGCCTGCTGTCTATGGACAGAGATCTCTGAAACCGTGAGCCTCCAAATAAACTTTTCTTCTTCTACCATTGTTTTGGTCGGGTCTTTTAGTCACAGCAACGAAAAAGCTGACTAAAACAATGGTACATACATTTACATCAATTGTTGGTGAAGTCCTTAGCCTAGTATATTTTCTCCAACCTGGTTATCATTTTTTTTTTGTTCTTGTCTCCTAGTTTCTGAGCCAAGTGCTGATCCATTCTATTGTGCCAAGCTAGTCGTCATCTCATTCTGGTGTGTGCTAGTCCTTGGTCGGGTGGCCACTTTCTTATATCATAGCTTGATATTCTAATTATAGAGAAAGGAAGGCAATTGGAATATTTGGAGTAAGCTTATTATATGCCAACCATGTCTTAAATATTTTGCATGTCTTATGTAATTTGATCTTCATAAGTCATAATGAAGTAGTTGCTTACTGATATTATTTACAGTCCTTTCAGTAACCCTGTGAAATTATTCTCACTCCTCTAATTGTATAAATAAATAAACAGAGACATCATTAGTTTAAATAACTTAGTCAAGAGACCACAGTTGGGAGCTGTCCTAGACAGTTTTGGCCCAGGTACGTATAGCTTCAAACCTGGTCTTCTTTATTCTGTACTGTATTCTATACTGTATTCCACTGTAGGTAGCAAGTACTACTAGTACTCTAAAGCACATTCTCAAAGCATGAAGACTTTCTGCTTTAATATCTCAGATTTTTATCAAGTATATATTTGTATTTTTATGGCTAAGTCCATGTGAAATTTCATGGTTTTATTAAAAGCAAGGATATCAAAAATTTAAAAACTAGTCTTAGATGTAATTATGCTCTGAAAATGTTTTCTTCAAGCACCTTCTGAATGTGAATGGTGTCTCTCTGTAACCTCAGGTGAAGTTCATCAGCTTACCAGAACTTCCCTGAAGCAAACTTTAACATGTACTTTGCATGCCCTCTAAAACTTAAATCTAACTGAATTTTTTTTTTTGAAGAATCTATACTTGTAAAGGAATGGAGGGGAGTAGTTACATTTTATATTGCAAAAATTTCTAAAAATTCTCTCTCAATAATTTCTACTTTTTCTAAATTCCTGTCTCTCTTATAACTTCCCACCTTTCCTCTGGCTCTCCCTGATCTTTTCTTGTCCATTTGAATTTCTCAAGATTTACTTTAGCAATAATAATAGTAGTATAAATAAAAATGAGAATCAATGATTCACGTTAGGCACTAGGTATAGGAACCTTTATTTCTACCATTGTATTTAATCTTAATGACATTTGTATGAGATATTATTATTACTCCTTTTAAATGGAGTAGATTGTTAAAATTAAGGGAGATGAAGTGACAGAATTTCCTAAGATAATTTTACGAACACGTGTTTGAGAAGGGATTAGATTTATGAGGAATATCTAGGCATTGATAATCAAACAATTTAGTATTAACTGTCTATCAAAGATAAATCATGATTATGTATGTTATTATTAGAATGAATTTTTAAAAGATTCAGAATACATTTGAAGGGCTAATCAAGAATATTTCAGGGAAATTGAATTTTTGAACTGATGGATTTTTTTTCTGGACATACGCATAGAGATAAACAGATACACAAAATCATGAAGATTACAGAATTAGGAAAAAATAAGCTCTTTTGCTTATATTTCCTTCTTAATGTTCTTGTTGACTTGCATTTTTAACTCTAATATTTCTTTTTTTAATTATTTCCAAGCAAGGTCTAGATTAATATGGAATTAATATTATATGGAATATGGAAAAGAAAATGAGAACATATGGAAAAGAAGGAAAATAACAAAGACAATAAGTAAAAATAACTGTTGGTTGAAATCAGAGATGAAATTGATTAGTATAATCTTAGGGTCTTAAAATTTCTTTCTTACATTTCATTTGATCAGAACTGCTTGTCAAAGGCAAAAACAAAACAAAACACCAATAACAACCAAAAAAAAAAAAAAAGAAAAAAAGAAACAATCACACATTTTATATAGCCCTATCTGCTTTAACATCTAGGAAAAATGCAGGAAGACTTTAATAATAATTTTTATAAAGAGGTTCTTTGAGTTTTAAATGTGAGAGTGGGAAAATAATGATTCTGGGATACCCTGCTGAATTAAGGCATTAGGCATTATCAAAGGGGTGTGTTTGGGATGGCGAGGTTTCATCCTGAGGTGTGTCAATGCAGGTGGAGGTAGCTGGCGAGTGTAGAAGAAATACAAAAAGCACAATGATGAGGTTCAACAAATTTGAGTCAACAGAGTTCAGAGTTTGTAGCACTGGGTTCAGCGAAAAAACATTCAATTGAAAAGTTACACTGGAATAAGGTTACCTTGAAGATTCGATTCAATAGGGACTGTTGCAAGAAAATTTGTTACTTTTGTAATACAATGAATATTTCTAATTCTAGTTATTCATGTTATCTACATGAACTTGGTTGGAAAAAAGGTTAGCATTCTACTGGTCCAGCTCAGTTATTAGAGAGTCACAACCCTTTTGTATACAATCCATTGCCAGTTATGACACTAGAAACATATCTTTAAAGACATCTAAAGAAAATACATCAAGTCAAAAGATACTTCCATTAGGATTCTAAACCCTAACTTTGGTCATTAGCTTTACTTGTTGGGAAGCAGCAAAAAGTAACTAAAACATTTACTACTCTCCAATAGAATATGGTTAAATAAAGCTGGGGTGAGTTTATTGAATCTGTGATGAATAGAAGGGAGATTTATTTGTGTAGCCATGAGCAGCAATATAAATATTCCTGTTGCTGCAGCTACAAGAAGGGTTTGTCCCAATATAGATGTGGTGGGCAGAAAAGGGCTCAGAATTGTGGAGGCCGTAGACTGAATTCTCTCCTCTAACCTGGTCTCAGGCTCTGCTGTATCTGCCTTGGGTATTACACATTCCTTCTTTATTCCTCCCACTCTGTGTAGCTCACACAGTCCCCCTAATTCCACTGGACTGGTATGTAGTTTTCCTCACCTGGATTTCACCCTTGGAAATGCTGCACCAACACTGTGTCAGAACCATGAGCAAGAAGATTCCGCAGGACTCAGCCTATCAGAGAGTATCTTGAAGGTTCTGCCTTATGACACCCCAAGGGAAAGAGTGATCCTTTACCTCTCAAGTAGCCTCTGCCTTTACCTCAAGATCAGCTGCCTTTGATCCATCAAGATGCCCTTGTCTTCTCTTCCAGCAGCTATTTTGTCTCACATGATAGCCATTGACAATGTGCCTCCTCCCCCACTTCGCAAGTTACCAAGTGAGTGGGGGCTAATTGGAAGGGTCTCATTTATTTGTCATTTTTTTTCCAGTGGTTTTAGGAATTGGTAGGAACATTGAGAACCTGACCAATGGCCTTGTGGGATAGAAAGAACATAAGTGTATAACTCCTGCTTTGCCTAGTTGAAGTTATTTCAATTCAATGTTTTTCTTTATAAAATGAGGATCTTTTTGAGCACTTAGAACTTTAGATTCATTGAAATATTAAAAGGGGTAGAGAAAACAAAGGCTCAGGGACATGGCCCAGTAGGTATCAGTTTGTGGCAAATCTAGTCCCATCACAGAGTTGATCTTACTGCCCCTCAAGGGATAATTAATTTTTAATTTTCACTAGGAGAATGCTTGTTTTAAATTTAAAAAGGGAAAAAAAAGACAATTCCCATTATTCAGAATATGAAATTTTTTCCCATTTCACTTAACTTTAATTTTCTAGTCTTTGACTTACAGTGTCATAAGAATTCTAGAAATAGAATTCAATATCGTGAAGTGTGTATAATCAACAGTGTTTATTCTATGTAGTTCATCTAAACTCGGAACGTTTTCTCCAGATGGAAACAGTTGTTACAACCATCCAGTTCATAGCTCTAATTCTTTGAACGTCAGCATATTGACTAGTAACATGTAATAGGTCTAGACTTAACTAAATTTAAAAATAAATTTTAGATAACAAAGGTAATACTCATGATCCTTTCCAATTTCACTAAAGCATTAACTCTAGTATTTTATTATTCACTGGGTAGATCTATGGTATTGATTTGAAGTGAGAGTTAACTTCCAGATAACTTTTTAAAAATTAATACTCATAAAGGAAAATAAGAGGTAATCTCATGAAATAGAAGTGAGACTAATTGAGAGTAAGAGATCCAGGAAGGGAGGAGAGAAAGGAATGGGGGAGATTTTGAGGAGTGAAAGCTACCAAATTATATTATGCACAGATACAACCATGTCCCAATGAATTCTAGTAATATGAATAATTATGTAATGTACCAATAACAATTAATTAATATTAATAACCAATACTCATAATCTTAGGGAAGAAATATCACAGACATGATTGATCTCCTTTGAAGGGATATTTTGCTTTAATAGTGTTAGACCCAGTTCTTAAAATTAGTTGCTACATTTATTAATTTATACATTAATATTATTATTGTAAAAAGTTGCTGCATGTGATTGAAGTATTCTATTTCTCTTCTAGTAGAAGAAAAATTAAAGGCAATTTTTCCAAAACCCACAGCTTCTGTCAGGTTTTGTTGTGAGAAAGAAAAAAAAAGTCACCCTAAGATGCTTTTTTTCCTTTCTATTCTCCTTTCTTTCTTTTTTTTTTTTTTCAGCAGCCCAGGAAGCTCAGTAGCTGGGAGTTAAAAGATCAAATTAATTTAGAATCAATGAGATGAGATATGTGCTACCTTCTGTAGTGTCTCCCAAGGACACTTAACTTCTGTGAAGTGATTAAAAGATGAAAAATCAGCAGCAATTTAGATCTCAGAACTGAATAGAGCATAATGGAAAGCAGGAGAGCCTTAGTGGTTCCTACTTGATGTTCTATGCCTGTGACTTCTCTTTGGAGACGTGTCCTGCTTGCTTAACGGCTGTGTCTTTGTGCTAACTCTAGCAAGTGCACAGTTTCCCCTTGTGGACTCTGATATCCCTGCTCAAACAGTGGTCTATGGAAGACTGTGTGTGGCGCACACTTTCAATCTGTAGAATGACTATACCTGAATTATAGAGCAGGTAATAGTGGGAATGATTCAAGGTGCAGTAGGTTAAATAGGAATGTTTGTTTATATATCTAAAACCACAAAAACAAAACCCAGCCATTCTGCATATCCTTTTTTACTTTGAATTCGGCCAGGTCAGTTAGACATACCCACATTCTCTATAAATATTTGGAGGTGAATAACATTATTAGGTGCTTTCTACTGGCAGCATGTAAGACTTTTGCATGCTTTGTTTATTTATTTCTCACAAGAACCTCATGGAGTCTGTGGTAGGCAGGAGAATGGCCCCCAGTGAATTGTGTCCATGTGCTACTCTGCATAGGCTCTGTTCCATAGCAAGCGGGAGGTCATCCACATATGGAACTGAGGTGGCTAAATCTGATCATCTTGAGATGGGGAGAGAACCTAGTGCCCACTGTAATCATGAGGTCATTATTGATAAAAGAGGGAGGAAGGAAGGGAATCAGAGTCAGAAGGATGAGGCTATTGCTGGCTCTGAAGACCGAGTGAGATGTGAGCCAAGGAAGCACCAAGGCATCCAGGCAGCTAGAAGCTGTAAAAGGCAAGGAGATGAGTTCTCCCATAGAACCTTCTGAAGGCACTCAGTCCTGCTGACCACTCAGAATGAGCCAGTGACCCATTTCAGACTTTCCACCTCCAGAAGGATAAGAAAATATATTCTTTCTTTCTTCTTTCCTTCCTTCCTTCCTTCCTTCCTTCCTTCCTTCCTTCCTCTCTCTCTCTCTTTCTTTCTCTTCTCCTCCTCCTCTTCCTCCTCCTCCTCCTTCTCCTTCTCCTCCTCCTCCTCCTTTTTTTTTCTGTACTGGGAATTGAACTTAGGATGCTCTACCCCTGAGCTATATCCCCAGCCCTTTTTATATTTTATTTTGAGACAGGGTCTCTCTAAATTGCCTGTGCTAGCCTCAAACTCGCCATCCTGCTGCCTCAGTCTCCTAGATTCCTAGGATGACAGGTGCATACTACCATTCTTGGCATATTCATATTCTTTTAAAGCCACTAGGTTTGTGGTAATTTGTAACAGGAAAAACCAAAGGCTGATAAAGGTCCATTTTACATTTCAGAGTAATGAGGCTTCGGTGTCTGAAAGGACCCACTGCCCTGAAATCCCTTGCCCTTTTAATCAGTTAAATGATGCATAGACATTAATTGCACTTTGCCATTTTATCTCCTCACATGCTCTTGATTTAAAGGAGGAAACACATCACACATCTTCAAACATGACTCCGTTGTTCTCATTGAATTTTCAGACTCAGGCATTTCAAATAGTTAAGCTTCTTAAGGCAGTTTAGTGCTTGCAGCCCCCCTGACCCCCCCACTACCCTGATCTTTGCAACTTTCAAGTTTTCTCCTTCTACAGTCTCTTTGACTTCTGCCTCAGGATTTTTCACATCTTGCTAACCCTGGGGAAGGGACCCATGTTCTCAAATGCTAGAGTCATGCCAGTTTTTATTCTGGGTGAGAATAATTTTTAAAACTTTACAGTTAACAAAGCATATAATGGTTTTATTTTCTGGGTGAAGTAATATCTGATCAAAGTATACACATGATCCACTATTATAAATATTATAAGTTGATTTCCTAAAGAGACAAAAAGAAGAAAAAAAACATGTTTCTTTTTGAAAGAAAGAAACATGTTTTTCTTCTTTTTGTCTAATTATAAAAAATTGTTAGTGGGAGGCTGGAAGCTGTCCTGCACCATTTGGCTTATAATTAGGAGTATGGTCCAGTAAGCTTCCTTTGCTTGGAGTAATATGCTGCACCTCTATTTACTTCATACTTATCAGGCTTATCCTACTGAGAAAGGGACAGTTTTAAAATATGGTTTACATTTGGCTAGTGGTTGATCCTGGAAGAACTTCTGTGCTTTTCCAGTAACAAAAGTGTTTTAAGTTCACAAAGCACTTATAAATATATTTTATTCCAACATATGAGAATTTAGAAGAGAAAAAAAATGTTCAAGACTAGAGACACTTCAAGGAATCTAGACACACTGCTCTTAAGTGAATGTTTTTTTCTTTGCTCTTTTCCATTTTATGGTGCATATTTACGGAAAGCTTAAAAATACTGTGTCATCATTCCTCAGTCTTCAAGGGCATTTCCTGTAATTTGAGAGTTTTTTAGTTCTTTAGTAGATAAAGATTAAAGGAGTTTCTAAATATGTGTTTATTTGGAAAAGTGAATGTTGCATCCATTTTTAAAATTTTAAACCATTCACAGCCTTAGAATGCAGGTAAAAAAGTAAGGCTTGTCAGTAGAGAAGAAAAATAGAGCAACAGACTGTAATGTATAAAGAAACAAGGTTAAACAAGAATGGAAATCTCCAGAAGGAATACACAGCGAGAAAGATGGTTGAATATTTGTGTATGTTTCTGTACTTAAATAATCAATAATAGTAAATATATAAAGGCCCATCAGATAAATTATGGAAGAAAGCATTAGAAGATTATTTCTCAACTTTATATTTCATGTAACAGTCACATTTTATTTTTAATACCAAGGAGAAAAAATGGTTATTCCACTGGCAAAACCTAAACAAAACCCAAATCTCCAAACGTTTCTTGTTTTTTTTTAACCACTGTTATAACTATCTCAGTGTACCTATCTTCTTGTCAGAAATCTTGTGTGGCTTTTATAAATTATGGGAATTAAAACTTGAGCTCAGTTATGCCTGAGGGTTCAGGATGGAAGCAGGAAATGAAGTAAAATGCAATGCAAATCAGATCTGTCCACTAGGTGGCAGGCTAAGTCTCCCCCAGTCTCAAGATACTGCTCTGTCTTCAGTCTCAGAAATTAGAGCTCAATTATTGTCATTGCTACTGCATTATCAATCCTTCAACCATCTAGATAGGTCTTCCATCCCCTTTACTGAACAGTTCTATGTTTTTCCTTCCAACATACATTGTGAACAGATTATTTGTCTAATAGGATGATTAAAAAATATCATATTAATGCTTCACTCAAAAGCTGTTAGGGTCCTACTCTCCTCTGAAACTTAGATTACAATTCATTTTCCACAATCTGCACTTAACTTTTTCATAATTTGGTTAAAAGCTATCACTCGTATTCTAGATCTTGCACTTCTATCCACATAACTGTCCACTATAGCTAAACTATTTTGGTTATCTTTCCTTAATCTGTCAATATCGACCAGGGATGTGGGGGGAAATTACTAGGTTTAATTAAACATTGAGATCATCACTCTTTGTACACATGCTCAGAAATGTGGGATAGAATTGCA